GAAAGATTTGTTCTCAAAATCTCAATAAAAATTCACAGTGAAAAAATAACATTTATGTTGAGGTAATATTACTGTAAATAAAATTTTAAAAGTTAAACAAGAGAGTTTGTTTACTGAAACCAGGAAAAACACAGCCTGGGTGTTGTCAAAGATTGTATTTTCTAGGGTAATAAAAAAAATTATGTTTTCTTAGTTCTACCTTTCCTTCGAAAATATAATTGTATTTTTTTGTTTCCTAAAAATTTCAAATACATTTCTAACCTCAGTGCCAAAATATTCTTTCCATTAGCTACACAGTATAGAAAACACCTCTTTCATTTATGATAGTAATTAACATTTCCAGGTTTTATTCCTCAATGGATAAGAAATGCACTGCAGCTCAATTATTGTATCGTTTTACTTCTCAAGAAGACTTCTAGGTATTTAGAAACAAAGCCCTCTGTTGGTGTATTTCTGTGGGGGTTTTGTACTGTGCAGGCACTTTAATGATTGAAAAGAAACATGGGACAACGTCTCAGGTGAGATATCTTCCCCCTGTGGCCAAAATTTTGGAGTTTGGATAAAAGTATTTCTGTTTAAAATGTTCAGTGACATTTACCATCATCTTACCTGTTGATATTTCGGATGAAAATGGAAGGGAAAAGAAACAGAAGTTATATATATATTCTTTTTTAATTGGTATTTTGAGAAGAAAAGGAAGATGGAAATGTTTTCTGGCCAGCTCTCACAGACTGACACTTTCCCAATGAGCTGCATCACTGCAGCTTAGACAGCACAAAACTTGCCAGTCAGGAGCCAAGTTTCCTGGCTGCAGGGAGGAGACACAACTGACTGATCAAAGAGGGGGCCCTGGTCCGATTCCAACTGCATGGGACTTACAGCACCAAGGAGCTGCCTTCAAAGATATAAAGTATCTGTGGAGAGTCTCCTGCACTTTTTTAGGCCTCTAGATTTCAGGGAATGATAATTTCATGCCTGGCAGCTTTTTTGGTGGCTTTTTTTCTGATTTCTTTTTTTCTGATATCTTTTTTTCTGATTTCTTTTTTTCTGATTGAAATTGGGCACATGTGAAACAGCAAACAATTTGCCCTGATCACTTTGTTTTTTCAACAGCTGTGTAAAAAAGACCAAAACCAAGCAAAGACTGCTTTTAGGTAAAGATAGTATTCTAGGACCCTCTGGTTTTAAAACACAGATTTGGATCTTATCTGCAATCTTGTTAGTCAGAAGAAATAATAAGGAATAAGGGATAAGGTCCCTAAATTCTTATTTTTCAATAATTGTTTACTTGCCTTGCTGAATTTCAAATTTCAAAAAGACAAGTCGGTCAAAAGCACTGTAATTTTTCAAAGACCATGCCCCTTTTCAGGTTGCTATGTCATTCAAAGTGATACGCAGCAGGTATGCCCCAGACACGCACAATTCTTTCCAATGCCATAATGAAATTCTGGAAGTGTGAACCTAAAATGTCCCAAAGAGACTCTTGCATCATTAATGCAGCAATTTTTTCAGCAGTAGATTAGGATTCTCTCTGGGATACAAGACAAGGGCCAAACTCTTTGGTTTCTATTGTTTTTTTGTCCAGCTCCCGCTGAAATGATACTCTGTGTGTGTGTGTGTGTAATAGCAGAATTTAGCCCAAATGATATGTGAAGCCTTAACCAAAGAAGTAAAAAAGTAGGTTTTGCTGGACTCACTGCAGAGTTTCTTCCTCCTCCTCCTTGTCTTCCACTGCTGCGTTTGAAAGACTGGTGTTTAAGAATCCAGAAGGGTAGATCCAAAACCCCCATCCTCTCCTCAAGCACAGTTGATCTCTCACAGATCAAGATTGTGGATTCTTAGGACGCTTTTCCCTTCAAAAGGCTCTTTTCTCTGTCTAATGTGGCTGCAAAAAGGAGTAATACAAGTAGCTATTTTGCCCCTTTTATGTATGAACTACCAGAATAAAGATACAAACATAACCCAGCATCATCCTGAGTACTCATACACAGCAGAGCTCTCAGAAGCATTGTGCCTCTTCTCTAAACATGAAATTTTATTTTTAATGTTGTAAATCCACAGGATTTTGCGCTACTCTTATATGCAATGGAAAGAATCTACAGAGACACTAAGCAATGTTCAAAAATTTTTGCACTTCCATGCACTGAAACACTACACTAGTAGGATACTACTAAGGAGCTGGTACTGCCATTTTTTCTGTTATACATTTTTTTAAGGTAGAAACTTGTCAACGACAATCTGCTTTCTTCTGCAGATGTAATATTCTTCCTGGAATAAAGGAGGTAGCAGATGCACTATTTCCTCAGTTTCAAGGGTTCTGACACAAAGTAAAATTGGTAAAAGAATTTTGCAATCTACTCATAACTACATTAGCTAGTTTTCATGTGCTATGTTGTCAGCTGCAAATACCATTGCAAAAGCACCAAGGAACATTCAGGTTTGATGTCACCTGGATTTCCTGGTGCTGTGTGTGGTAATGTGAGTACATATGCCGAAATATCTAGCCCAATCTTGTTCCATTAAAATAGCGTAAAGTTGATCGCTATTCTAAAGAGGATGGAATAAGGAAATTATTGCTGTTCATAGAACAGATCTCCTAATTAGATGTTGCATAACTAAAGCAATTAATGTTTCTCCAAGGACCAAGCTGTAACACCTACCATTGATATCAGATTGCCAGCTAAAGTGCAAAGTACTACTTTTCATGTTTGGTAACATTTCCCTAGCCAATTCTAAAATGTGTCTGAACCTGCTTGAACTTTCTAGCTATTGATTTTCATCTAACATGTTTTACAATCCTCCACTTTCCTGTTTCACGTTTCTCTGCCCTTTTGTAATATGATGCCTACGACACTATGACAGGAAAGTCCGGCCTTATTCTAGTCCAAGACCACTTGGCAGTGTGCAACAAAACATCCAAATGTGCACATCCTCAAAAACACCTCCCAGGCCTTTAAAATAAATAAAGTATAATAAAACTGTGCAAAGCAGTGCAAAGGAGAATTGGGAGAGTTAGAAAAGCAAGAACATCATGTAAGATGTGGTGCTGCTGGTGATTCCTCCTGGCTGTTCTCCAGCCTGCGATTGCCAAGTTCACAGCTTTTGTAATGTTCCTCAGTCCTATTGACTTACCATGAGACAGCTCAACCTTAAGAAGATGTGAAACTGAATTTTAGATGTGTCACATTTGGCCCACCTCCCCAGGCTAGGGTCATGAGAATTGATGAGGGCTCCTGGGAGATTAAAAAAGTGAACATGGAAGATCATCCTACAGGAAGAAAAATTCCTTAAAGTGAGGTTCTGCCTATTCAGCAACAGTACTTGGAGGTTGTGCACACTCTTGCTCTCTCTCTCTTTGGCCGCATGAAGCCCCCCGCTTTCCATAAGGAAAAATGGAGAGCTGCACCTGGTGTGAGAGCAGGGTAAAGTGCTGGTTTGTTCTGTGTTGGCATCTGGATTTGCCCTTATCATCTAGCAGGTGTAGAGGTCTGTGACCTAGCTAAGGGGCTATGCCCTCCCAACGGGAACAGTGACAGAGGGTCAAGGGAGATCCACAGAAGGTGCAGAAAATGTCTACTTTCCTTGCCTCTTCCCCTTCTAGGGAGGAAAATAGGATGTAAATTTCTGACTAAATATTGGAGTTTCATTTATTCAACTTTTTTTTGGCTGCTCAGTTAAAACTGAACAGAAAAACACAGGTAGAACTCTCAATTAAGATGCTTAAGCAGTACAAAAGAAGTGGGAATCAACCCATAGAAACCACTCATTGAAACGATGTCGGAAATCATGCAATACCTCAGGACGATACAGCTCTGGAAAAAAATCACGTTAACCCTCATCTTATAATACTACATTACCTAAGCCAATCTTCTCAGTGAGTTTGGGAAACCATGCTTTAGGTGCTAGAAATAATCTTTTTTTCCAGTGC